CAACAGAGAAAAGTTATTGGAAATGGTTGACCCTGCACTACAGGGACAGTATTCAAAAAAGGATCTAATCCAGGTCAGTTTGGCTGGCTATCATCATTGTCGTTGATGTCATTGAAAACTGTGATTCAAAGTAACGACATTTTTCTCTTCTTTGCATCGGTTTTACAGATAGCTGCTATTGCAGCCATGTGTGTGCAACCAGAAGCAGATTACCGTCCTCTAATTACAGATATTGCGCAGTCCTTGGTCCCTCTGGTGAAGAACCTCTCTCCTAAATCTCTTTCCAATTCATTGAGGTTTAATCAAAGAGTAAGTCCAAGGTCTTAGGCAATGCTTGGAAACTGCAGTTTGAGCTGTTCAAAATCTGAACAAATCTATGGACCAGCTGGTTCATCCTATGACAACTCATTGTTCATCCTATGGAGGTCCTAAAACATTAGTATCAGAGTGTACAAAATTAAAGAGCAGCAAAATATACTAGGAATTGTAGGCAAGCGTGAAATATCGTGTACTCCAAATACTAAAAAATTAGAAGGTGGTTAATAAATGTTTTGCTACTTGTGATGGTTGTGATTTTATTATTGTTTCTTCCAAAGTTTAAAATGTATATATGCTTAATTGGATTACAAAGAAAATTCTAAACTGAGATAGTCTATGTAGCAGTGTTTGGACAATTACTTGGTTAATAACGACATTAATTTGGATGCTCATATACTTAATAATTGAACCATTGCCAAAAAGTAAAGCCATTAGAACAATGATGGTTTCAGAAAATCCTATACTTGTCACATACATGAAATGAAGTAAATTCATTTTCAAAGGTATTAAAAAGAAAATAGCCATATTCTAATTGATGAGCAACCACTAGAGGACGGATAAATTCAGCGAAGCAAGTGTGATAGGAAATGGAGTGATAGAGTCGTCCTTAGACATCGAGATGGGACTGTGGCAGCTATTAAGATGTTGCGCAAGGAAGGAAAGCAAAGAGAGCTCATACACAGAATTGTCCGGGATTCGAATTCTTACTTTTCATTTTGGGAGACAGAGGAGATATCATTGAATCATAACTCTTTGGTTATTTTGATATAGGAAATTTGCACTCACACCTTTGAGGTTTGGGTCAACACCACTCGGCGGCCGATCAACGCACTAGTTTACATTGACACCCTTAAGGTTTCAAAAGTCATATTTACCCTCATGCCTGTAAATTGTTAAAAATAACTCATCATTATTTTGTACACTGCTGCTGCGGCCCCCACATACATACACTGTTGTTACCTCACACATACACAGCACCGCACCCCAAACGCCGCCATCGCCACACACACATACACACTGCCACCGACACACACATACACACTACCATCGCCACACACACACAACACCACAACCACCACCGCCACACACACACAACACCACAACTACCGCCGTACTCGCCACACCACAACTACCTCCACAAACACACAGAGCACCACAATCGCCTCCGGACTCACCGCACCACTACTAACACCACAACCACCGCCACATCCACACATAGACATGTAGCACAACACCCCAAACGCCGCCACCGCCGCACACACACACACATCACCACAATCACCGCCACACACACACACACACCGCAACTGCGGCACACACACATATCACCACAACCACCGCCATACCAAACACGCATCTAGACTCGCAGCACCACAACCACCACCGCACTAAACAAGCCTCCGGACTAGCCCGATTCGAACCAGAGAGTTCGTCATCGCCAATCTCCGAGCATTCAATCCTTCAACGACTACGATCTAATCTCGTGGCGTGACGGTCATCGAATGACACCGGCCGTTGAGTAATGTTGACCCAAACCTCAGAGATATGAGTGCAAATTACCCTCTTGATTTTGATTTGATTCGCCTAGGCAGAGTATGGAAGTTTGTGAAGTTCTATAATTTTACACATACAAAAATAGTTGTATAATAATGTAGATATTCTTTCTATTCATTTTACTAACTACTTAGTTAAGCAACGACACTAAATGACGGAGAAAGAAACATGCTTTCAAATGTAACATTTACCTCAAGAGAGATGATCTCCATATATTTGGCTGTTAATTTTTGTGCTTCTATTTGTGTGTGTGAGTGTGTGTGTGTGTGTGTGAGAGAGAGAGAGAGAGGGAGTGCTCATTTAAGCAAGCCCTCCAGTTTTTTTTTTTATTTCTTCTAACCCCAATTTAACAATTAATTGGCCGGTAAAATTGTAAAGTAGGAAATTTAAGACGTCTTTGTGTTGTGTATGGTTATGCAACCACATGTGGGACGTTTTTAATTTTCAAACAGAATGACAGTGCTATGTATTTATTTTATTTTTTGGAGTGAAATAATATATCAATGTAACATAATGTTCAACCAAAATTGTTTGACACATACTTTATGCCTATGTCTAAGTAATGTGTGGTTTATTTTATACATAACTACACAAGCAGAAATTGACCCACAGCTGCCATTATTATATTGCTAAATTTTAGAATCTTGTCAATAAATATGTGTCACATGAAATTGTCATTTGGATTAATTAGAATGATGTAATTAAATAGTTTACTAATATAGAGCTTTGGTTTGCTAAAACCTAAAACTGAACAGTAAAATTTGTGAAGGTATGTGCGCACGAACTTACGGAAATCTGAAATTGATATTTTTGGTTAAATAATATATATATATATATATATATATATATATATAAATTCCATGCCCAATGATGGAAAAACTCAAAATAATATATATATATATATATATATATATATATATATATATATATTATTTTGAGTTTTTCCATCATTGGGCATGGAATTTATATACGTGACCAAAAAAATTATGTAGATAATTTTAAGTTAACAACAAAAATTCTCAAAATATATGGTTATTCATGCAAGACAGAACCATATTTTGTTATATACTATTACTCTCTCAGATGGATAAAATTTCAAATTCAAACCTAGGACTTTGCTATTGTTCTTACTACATACAACCCCAAAATGCTACTGGATGTCACCTGTATCAAATCAACTACAGTATCATCAATAACATCATCAATGGCAGTTGGTTGAGTCATACAAAAAAAAAAGAAAACACTCAAAGACAAAAACGAATTTCATTAATTACAACTTCATTGAGAATTTCAAAACAGAGATAAAATGTTGTGTGACAACAAAATTTTAGTTTACTAGAGTCAGAAAATGCAAACTCCACCCCTATTAAGACTGACCAATGGGATTGAAGCATTCATCTGTAATCCTCTTCTCAACCCAGTCTGATTAGTTCTCCCACATGCAGCATCTTGACACCGTGTACCCTAGTAGCCGAAAGAATACCCTCCTCCCGTTCCTCTTGTATAGCCTCCCCCAGAAGTTCAGCCTGGAGCCAATGGTCTCCCACCACCAGCATTATACCCCGATCGCCCACTGGTCCTGTTGTGCCTCTGTGAGAATGAGAAGTTGTCTTGGCACTTATTACCAACAGAAGAGGCGTCAGTAGCATAATCCTGGCCATCCCTCTGCCGCAGAGGCAAGCTGTCCAATCCACCATCACCATTCCTCGCCTTTGTTGCCCTCTTATTGTTTTCTGCCAAGATTGACAGCTTCTCAATCACATGGAATGCCAGAGTTTGCAACCTTTTGTGCTCAACATCACGGAAGACAATGCACCGGGTTGGCTGATCCCAACTAGTATGGAGCTCCTCTGTGATCACCATTTTGCTCACAATGCTATGAGTTCGGACATCCGAAAGATCAAATAGTTATGCCACACTCTGAATTAACCCAACGTTATATTATGGTTTGATTGTTTTGAATCTGGATTTATTTTAATATATGATGTTTTTTTGATTATATGACTATGAGCACTCCAGACAACTCAAGTGGTTTTTCATGTTTTAGTAGAATATAAATTGTTATTCTCTTGTCTTAGACATAATAGTTTATGTTTTATTCTTAACCTACCTTGTTGTACGGTATCTGGCGGAGCCCTGCCAAACACAAAAATAGAGGTCATATAATGGTACTCCAATGTTTTTAACAAAGAATGTTTTCATAGTCTATACTTAGGAAAGATGGCTTATTTGCGAAGTAGTTAAAGTAGGTAGCGTAGGTAGGCAGATAGCCCATACAAACCATAAATAGGTTATAGTTAACTGAATTTGGTAAAACGACTTTCTTTAAACTCCGAACTGAACGAATGTTATAGAGTTCAGTTCATTTGAAAACATAATTAATTAAAGTCCCAGAGTTGATTGATTGACCATAGTATGACGATTGTGGAAGTCCTAAGATTTCCCTCTCTGATAATTTAATTTAGTTTAATTTGTTTTAGTTAATTATTTTGTTATAATTTAAGTTTGTTAAATCGTGACAACCAACAAACTCTCCAACCAAGTTATTTGTAAACCATGAAATTAATTTAAAGGCTAATACAAATTCTTTCTCCATGTGGGTTCGACATCCTCTTTACATAGAACTATCCTACACGGTATTGTTCGATTACGAAAGACACATCAATTTTTGGCGCCGTTGCCGGGGAGATTATTTTTTTTGTTTTAGTTTTTAATTAGTTATTTTGGTTTACCAGTTTTCGGATTTTTTGATATCTCACCTAATTCTTTTTCTATTCAGATACAAATTAGCAGTGAGGATAAAGACGCTTAAGGGAGAAAAGCTTCGGTTTATTAAACCTTTTGTGAGTTCTTATTGTTTTTCTTGTTACTTGGAATAATTTTTTTTTTGTTACTATTAGAATCAGTGGAACCAGTGCATGTTAACTCGCCAAACTAAGTCAAAACCTTTAGTGCATGATCCTGAAATAGAGAGAACTTTGAGTCAGTTAAGAAAACTTAAAAAATACTTGAATAATATCGATAGTTCCTCTGAAAGTATGGCTGAGCAACATAATAATGGACGGGGTAATAATGGTGATGGTAATGGAGAACGGGGTCCACCTGTTCTTCCACAACAATAATTGAGGGACCATTTCATTCCTACCACATACACTTCTCCTTCGTGCTTTGTTTTTCCGGATGCTAATGCAACTCATTTTGAGATCAAGCCTGCTATGATCCAAATGCTTCCTACCTTCCATGGGTATGCAATAAAGGATCCTTATAAGCACTTGGATGTGTTTTTGGAATTGTGTTCAACTACCAAGTTGAATACTCTCTTTAATAATTCATTCAGGATGTGTCTTTTCCAATTCTCTCTTAAAGATTAAGCAAGAACCTGGTTGCAATCCCTTCCAACAAATTCCAAATCTACATGGGACATGTTGCAACATGAGTTCTTGAAGAAATATTACACTGTGGGTAAAACCACACAAATGAGGAGAGAAATCATGGCATTTTCCCAAATCCTGGGAGAACAGCTCCATGATGCATAGGAGAGATATAATGATCTTCTAAGAAAGTGTCTACACCATGATATTGCTCAATGGCACTTAATACAGATTTTCTATATTGGTCTTACTAATTCATATAGAAACATGGTTGATGTTTCCAGTAACGGAGCTTTTGTACGAAAGAGTCCGGCTGACGCTTGGGAACTATTTGAGGCCCCAAATGAAAACTCAGTACAACATGCTTCTTCCTATAAGT